TAGGAATATCTTAAAGCAATGAAAGTTGACCCTGATTTATACATGCTTAAGCTCCAAAAGGGCAAAAATACCCATAAAGCGGTCAGTGTGACTTAAACCCTCACTTTTGTCAGATTTGCAGTGAACAAATGTAAATCTTTTCATCATATCAGGGCTGCCAACTCTCACGCATTCAGTGTGAGACTCACGCAATTGAGCCAATTCTCACACTCTCACGCCACACCCCCGATTTCTCACGCTGAAGTGTCAACCCGGTCGGTCAAATGCCTGAAAGATAAGTTTATCTATAGATCTACCAGTTGAGCCATTCGTGATCGACTAGTTTTACCGCAAATTAGTCAAAATATCCTGTAATCTATAGCGAGCGAGCGTGCGAGACAGATGTGTTGAGCTCCTAACGGCGCGCTCCTAACCGCGCACGACGGCAGAGAGGTGATTAAGCGAGCTTGCGTGTCTTTCGCAACACAACCCAGTGGACAGTTACACTGTATTGAGACAGTTGAGAAATAATAATATTTTTTACAGTTTTCAACAATAATTGTCATTGTTGAACCCTTGCTCTTATTATGTTTCTGATTTTTTTCAGTTTTGTCATTATGTTAGCAAATCATTTATTTTATATGTTTTGAGACAGTTTGTTTGAAGAAGTTTTAAAGAGTTAGTAAAAGAGTAAAGTAAAAGTTAAAAAAAAATGTTTAAGTAGGCATCTATTTTTTATTAAGTAGGTCTATTTATTTTGTATTAATACATAACCTTACTGTATTCATTCATAATGTATCATTATTGCGTGACATTTGTGTCAATAATCGTCAAGCACAGGGGACTTCGCGTAGTGGGAGGGGGCCCCCAAATCTAATTCTGCTTAGGGCCCCCAAAAGGCTCGGACAGGCTCTGGAGACCAGACAGACATTGTGAGTTTTTTGTGACAATTGTGAGAGAAATACACAATTTATTCCCATAAACTGTGTAGTCAGCCGTTCTCCCTCCCATCTGCACCGTGTGAATTGTGAACGCAGGCAGGTCAGTGAGTTACAGGGCGCTCCTGGTCTCCATCCAGTTTAGGCTAGTAACTAATATGCCTATGCTGTTATATAGTTTATATAGAATTAAGTTAGCAATAGCAGAGTTGTTTGTTTTGCAGCACTGAGCAGTTATTTTACATAACTTTATCATAAAAAACAGTACAAAAGCATTTCCAGATGACAAATATCTGGACATGCCTAGTAGTTAATGTTAATTATTGTTTTCTAAGAACAGAATGTCAATTAAAATGGTAAATGTAAAATTAAAAAATAATGTAAATCTCCCAAGAAATTCTGTACAGATACCAAATACCTTGACAATCAATATATACTTAATACACTTCTGCTAATGCAAGGATTTTGTGTTTGTATTTTTCCCACATCAAGCCACGCCCTCAATAAGCCCCTCCCCCATAACCCAAGCTCCGCCCCCCAAAATCTCACTCTAAGCTGAACTCAAAAGTTGGCAGCCCTGTCATATGGCTATGCAAATGAAATTCATCTTGTCTCTAACTAAAGTCTGCAGCGCTGTTGGCATGTGAATGTTAGATTTTGGTTTCCAGAACATGCATTTTTTGTTTTATTTTAATTAACACATTTTACATTTTATATTGAAAAATGTAGGTTTATAAATAAGAGCTAAAAATAATCATTAGATCATTATCTGTAAAAGTTATTTAACAGTATAAATCTAAAACCTAAAAATGACCATTACAAAAAGTAAATATTATTAAAAAACACTGCAATATTCTGAGAACTTTATTTTATAGTTGTAAAATCAAAACCTAAAAAGAATACAAATAAAAATATAAAATATATTTTATGATTATAAATAAATTGTAAAAAAATTGAAAATTTGTATAGTATAAGTATAAAACCTAAAAATAACCATTTGAGAACGTTTTGTGTCATTTATTTTGCGCAATTTGGCCTTTTTTTTCTTTCCTTTTTTACTGAGAACTTTTTTAGACTTAAAAAAAAAAGAAACTTTCAAAGACCATTATTATATGGTTTCCCCAAAAAACAAACAAAACAACAAAACAAATGGGAAGCAAATACTAACATTAGGCGAAGGTTCAAAAGTAACATTCCCATAATGTTTGCTGTTCTCAGAACATTCAGAAAACTTTAGCAAAACATTAGAAGCTTCTGTGTGTCTGTGAGAAAACACAAAAGGCATGCCTTTCCTAATTTTGAGTTGCACAAATTAGGATGAATTTTTTTAAAAAAAATATTATAATATTAATTTTGAATATTTGTATTATTTACAATGCGAGCTGAAAGGCCTTATATGCACATATGTTTATTTGACAGCCCTGTGTGTTATCAAGCGTTACTGCGGTTTAAACTCAGTTTAAAGACCCTCGGGTTAATGACTATAATGATGATAACACTATCTCGATGGGGTCAGAGGTCACAGGAGCTCAGGCACAGCTGGAGTGTGGGTGACGCAGCGCAGTCCAGACGTGTCTGAGGAGGAAGTGTGTTCCTGTGTGTGTCACACTAATGTAAGGTGTGTGTGTGTGTGTGTCAGCTCCATGCAGACCCTGCACTGATGACCAGCTGCTCATGGCGCTCTGCACCAGTGACTTCGGTAAGACACTATTCACCATATTACACTCCTTACATGTCATCATTTACCGCATTTACAGGGAATAAGATGCACCTGACTATAATGCACACATTCTGGTTATGAACAAACATTCGTCCAGTAACGTTAACAGAGAGTTTCTTCAAAAGTAAACATTATTTATGCATCATTCATGGAGCATTTGTTTTTCTGAAATGTTTTAGTAAGATGTTCATCTAACGTTTTTATAAATGTTGTTACTTGTTTCGGAATGTTCAGAGAACATTCAAAAGTAACATTCCAATGATGTATGCAGAATGATGAAATGGAATGTTCTCTCAACGTTCAAATAACCACGAAAAAAAAACCTGGACGTTTTTAACATTCAGAGAACATTGAGAAATAACGTTTTGATAACTTGATGGAAACATTAGCAAAACGTTCATTTATAATATTTGCAATATTTAAAATATTTTTTCTTAGCTGGGAAGTCACACCTGGTCAACATTTCAATGTTATGAGAAAAATAACAGACGAGTCGCACATTTTATTATTGCATTCAGAAATAATGTAAAATGCCTGTAAATAATGGTTTTAAACACAATAAACATGTATTTTAGTTCCTCTACCTTCACAACAAATCCTTTAAATTGAACCGTATTCATAAGATGAAATAAAACTATAAAAAGTATAAAACAAACATAAATTACAGTGGCATTTATTATAAACAACATTTAATATAATCGACTCGCTTTAACTAATTTGACCAGTGTCTGGAAAATGCGTTACACAGATAATCTTGGGCTCATGTATTCAGCATTAATATAAATGTTTTGCATGCTTGACATTAACCCTTGTGCGCTGGTCAGGGTCTTTTTGACCCCAAATGACGTTTGCTGAAATAAATAAAAAAAAATCAGTTTTTCAATAATGTTACATTAATATTAGAATCAAATGAATTGTGTCCATTTTCTAAGCGGGTAAATGGACAAAATTTATCCTCAAAATCAGAAACAACGCAGAACACAAAGAGAGAAATGAGAGAACAAAAAAAGCTAAACTTTGACAAAAAGTAATTTTTATTGTTATAATTGTGATTTCATAATATGTAGATTTGAATCCAACTGGAAAAACTTGTGAAAAGATGTCTTTTAGTCAAATAGTGATGCTCTGCAGCCGCCTACTGGTTAAAGTGATCATTTTTTACTTTTAAAATTGCATTTTCCAAAAGATGGGCAAAAATCTTACTCAAAACCACGTCAAATTATCCATGTGATCCCCATGAATGAAAGTTAGAAATGTTGGTCTTTATAAAGTGATTTTTACATAAAAAGATGGGGTTTTTTTTTATAAAACCCAATTTAAACAAATATATTTTTATTTATTTATATAAATTAAAAAAATATAATAAGTCCTCCAAAAACTCCACAAATGTGGAGTAAATGTGGAGTAGAGTAAATGTGGAGTAAATGTGGAGTAAATGTGGAGCAAATGTGGAGCAAATGTGGAGTAAATGTGGAGCAAATGTGGAGTAAATGTGGAGTAAATTGAGTAAATGTGGAGTAGAGTAAATGTGGAGCGAATGTGGAGCAAATGTGGAGTAAATTGAGTAAATGTGGAGTAAATGTGGAGCAAATGTGGAGTAAATTGAGTAAATGTGGAGTAAATGTGGAGCAAATGTGGAGCAAATTGAGAAAACTGAGTAAATGGAGTAAATGGAGTAAATGTGGAGTAAATGGAGTAAATGGAGTAAATGGAGTAAATGTGGAGTAAATGGAGTAAATGTGGAGTAAATGGAGTAAATGGAGTAAATGGAGTAAATGTGGAGTAAATGTGGAGTAAATGGAGTAAATGTGGAGTAAATGTGGAGTAAATGTGGAGTAAATGGAGTAAATGGAGTAAATGGAGTAGATGGGGAGTAAATGGGGAGTAAAAAGGCTGTAAAACCAAACAGCCTGAGTGTACCGCAAACGAAGAGCGCACACGGGTTAAATACATAATAAAAGCCCCTTTAGAATATAAGTTGTGCATGTTTCAGATGCTAAAAACATTCTGTAAAGCGTAGTCAATGCCCTGTGTGTGTTTGTGTGTCAGCGGTGCGCGGCAGGATTCGCCACGTGGAGGAGGAGGAGGATGATGAAGGTCAGGTGCCTGTGCTGCTGTGGTTGAGTCGTGTGTATCGGCAGAAGAGTGGTGTGTTTGTGTTGCTGCGCGGGCGCTGGACGGGGCGAGTGAAGATGCCGATGCGCTGTGACCCGCGCGCGGGACAGGACGACTTCCTCTTCACAGGACACCTGCGCTTCGGAGAGCCCTGGGTCACATGTGCTCCGCTGTACACACACTTCATCACACTGTACCGCTCCGCTCTCCACGCGGGGACGAACCCCTGCCACATACACACTGACTGAGTGTGTATGTCACCCCAAACATCACCCCAAAATCAATAGAAATCATATTTACACTGACACGTTCTCATTACTGCATTGCATCCAGATGTTTTACTTTTTTAATTATGTTTTATTTTGATTCATTTGTCATTTATTATTTTCAGTACTGCAATTATGTATTTAAATACTTGTTTTATTATATATTATTTTATAATTATTATTAGGCTATAACAATGATAATATAAAAATATTAACAGTATTTAAATAGTGAAATATTTATACAAATATTTGCATTACTAAAAAATAATTGTAATGCGTTCATATTTTTGTTATAAACATTGGGGATATTTGTCTTTATTGTCATGAGACGATAATTTTCACAGTTTAATTGTGTAATTTTGTTTATGCAGACTATGATTTGTTGTGTATTTGTGTTGTTTTTGTGGTGAGCCGAGGCCTGGATGTGTTGTTTTTAAAGTTGCTGTTCTTGACAAAGAAGTTTTGTTTGTTTGTTTCTGTCTGATTTCATACGTCTGAAACGGATACAGAGAAAGTGTGGCGTAACACTGTGTGTGTGTGTGTGTGTGTGTGTGTGTGTATCATGAGCTCTTGCCTGCTGCGAGAGGATGGCGGTGCTTTTCTTAAAAGCTTTGTTTATAGTTATAGAGCGGTCGATTCTTCTGACTGACGTCTGGAGTGTGTTCACATGTGCGTTTGTGTGTGTTTATGCTGTATGTGTGTTTGTTGAGTTGCCTTTTCTGTTCCTCGGACTCAGAACGAGTCTGGAATAAAACACTCTTCATAGAAACGTGTATGTGTGTGTTTTCTGTTAATCTGCCCAACTGTGGAGAAAATTGCAACATTTTCAAATTACCGTGCGAAAGCTTCCAGCAACACAAGCCCGATTTCATAGTTCAGCGTAATAGGCCGTTCACACAGAACATGTTTTTTCCATTTCCCATTAAAACACAGCGCTCAATTTAAAATAAGTCCAACTTTTAAAAACATGCGTCTTGAGACCTTTTTTTCCACACTGCCCGCGTTCTGTGTGAAAACAGCCCTAAGAAACGCTACCTGAGCGCCAGTATAGACCTTATTCAGAGCAGCACCATCCCAGACTGCAACATAGTGTCGGCCTCTGGATGTGGACCGGATCTGGGCCGACACTGTTTGGGAAGACCGGTATGAAAGCGAGGCTGTGAGGGACAGACTTACCGTGTTTTCAGTGGCATCCACTGTAAAAAGCTCCTAGATCACTTATAATTCTCCACAGCTCATATTGTTCTGAGATTTTTGTCTACTGACAGTTATTGTTGCAGTGTTTCGTTAGCAGAACAATCTACTCTGGTCTTTTTCTCTTTCAGATCAACTGCTGTCAGTGGATTAAAACATTTATTCATCTAACCCTTACTATCAAAGCAGGTTAAACATGTTGATATCTACACATCCGCTTTGATGACATTTGAGGGAAGCTCTTATATTTAAGTAACCTTCTGTGTTTGCTGGGTTAATAAATGCCTTGGCATTATAAGATGCAGCTCATCATGGTTATTATTTTGAAGGAATAATATTATTTTTTAGTCATAAAATGTAACTGATTTTTCCACTCTTTTCTGCAAACATAACCAAGGCCACATGGGCACTGAAATCTGTCCAACCTTATTTCTGTCTAAAAAACAATCCTGTTTCACATTAAGAAAAGCATTGCATTGCAAAAGCTGAATACATTGCAGATGCCATTTCATGTTGTTTATGGTCATCACCTTTTTACCACCTTTAGCCTATTATAAGTTAAGTTTACAATAACGTTACACAGCACTGCCAGTCTCATTAACCGTGTGTGACACTCAAAATAAAGGTTCTTCATGTGAAATATGAACCGTTTTTCAGTGCTTTACTGTTTTTCCGTAAATTACTGCCAAGTTGAATTGTTGGACCCGTGTGTGACTCTAGCATGAGTCCACGGATAAACTCCTAAATTATTGACGTGTTGGACAATCATTTTATTGCACTGAATGTTCTCTCAAACATTTTTTTTTTTCAATTTGGAAAAGCATGCACCAATGAATCATTCACAGTAACTTCGAGAACATGCAAGTACACAAAGTAAGTTTTGTCATTGGCAGATCGGTATTTTTCTACACCCCTAGTGATGATTAGTAATATCTGGATAAGTGTTATGTTACAAATCAGCGTTATGTTACAAATCAGCATATCAGTGTTATGTTACAAATCAGTGTTATGTTACAAATCAGCAAATCAGTGTTGTTACAAATCAGCGTTATGTTACAAATCAGCATATCAGTGTTATGTTACAAATCAGCGTTTTGTTACAAATCAGCATATCAGTGTTATGTTACAAATCAGTGTTTTGTTACAAATCAGCAAATCAGTGTTATGTTACAAATCAGTGTATCGTGTTATGTTACAAATCAGTGTATCGTATTATATTACAAATCAGCGTTATGTTAGAAATCAGCATTATGTTACAAATCAGCGTTGTTACAAATCAGCATTATGTTACAAATCAGTGTTATGTTACATATTAGCATTGTTACAAATTAGTGTTCTGTTACAAATCAGTGTTATGTTACAAATAAAGTGTTATGTTACAAATCATCGTTGTTACAAATCAGTGTTATGTTACAAATCAGCAAATCAGTGTTATGTTACAAATCAGCAAATCAGTGTTATGTTACAAATCAGTGTTATGTTACAAATCAGCAAATCAGTGTTATGTTACAAATCAGTGTTATGTTACAAATCAGCGTTATGTTACAAATCAGCATATCAGTGTTATGTTACAAATCAGTGTATCGTGTTATGATACAAATCAGTGTATCGTATTATATTACAAATCAGCTTTATGTTACAAATCAGCATATCAGTGTTATGTTACAAATCAGTGTTATGTTACAAATCAGGGTTATGTTACAAATCAGCAAATCAGGGTTATGTTACAAATCAGTGTATCGTGTTATGATACAAATCAGTGTATCGTATTATATTACAAATCAGCGTTATGTTACAAATCAGCAAATCAGTGTTATGTTACAAATCAGTGTTATGTTAAAAATCAGGGTTATGTTGCAAATCAGGGTTATGTTACAAATCAGGGTTATGTTACAAATCAGCATTGTTAAAATTAGCTTTGTAAAAATCAGCGTTGTTACAAATCGCGTATCGGTGTTATGTTACAAATCAGCATTATGTTACAAATCAGCATTATGTTACAAATCAGCGTTATGTTACAAATCAGCATTATGTTACAAATCAGTGTTATGTTACATATTAGCATTGTTACAAATTAGTGTTATGTTACAAATCAGTGTTATGTTACATATTAGCATTGTTACAAATTAGTGTTATGTTACAAATAAAGTGTTATGTTACAAATCATCGTTGTTACAAATCAGCGTAATGTTACAAATCAGCATATCAGTGTTATGTTACAAATCAGTGTTATGTTACAAATCAGTGTATCGTGTTATGTTACAAATCAGTGTATCGTATTATATTACAAATCAGCGTTATGTTACAAATCAGCATATCAGTGTTATGTTACAAATCAGCAAATCAGTGTTATGTTACAAATCAGTGTTATGTTACAAATCAGTGTATCGTGTTATGTTACAAATCAGTGTATCGTATTATATTACAAATCAGCGTTATGTTACAAATCAGCATTATGTTACAAAACGGCATATCAGTGTTATGTTACAAATCAGCAAATCAGTGTTATGTTACAAATCAGCAAATCAGTGCTATGTTACAAATCAGCGTTATGTTACAAATCAGTGTTATGTTACAAATCAGCAAATCAGTGTTATGTTACAAATCAGTGTTATGTTACAAATCAGTGTTATGTTACAAATTAGCAAATCAGTGTTATGTTACAAATCAGTGTTATGTTACAAATCAGCATTATGTTACAAATCAGCATTATGTTACAATTTAGCGTTATGTTACAAATCAGCATTATGTTACAAATCAGTGTTATGTTACATATTAGCATTGTTACAAATTAGTGTTATGTTACAAATCAGTGTTATGTTACAAATCAGCAAATCAGTGTTATGTTACAAATCAGTGTTATGTTACAAATCAGTGTTATGTTACAAATCAGCAAATCAGTGTTATGTTACAAATCAGGGTTATGTTACAAATCAGTGTTATGTTACAAATCAGCATTATGTTACAATTTAGCGTTATGTTACAAATCAGCATTATGTTACAAATCAGTGTTATGTTACATATTAGCATTGTTACAAATTAGTGTTATGTTACAAATCAGTGTTATGTTACAAATCAGCATTATGTTACAATTTAGCGTTATGTTACAAATCAGCATTATGTTACAAATCAGTGTTATGTTACATATTAGCATTGTTACAAATTAGTGTTATGTTACAAATCAGTGTTATGTTACAAATCAGCGTTATGTTACAAATCAGCGTTATGTTACAAATCAGCATATCAGTGTTATGTTACAAATCAGCAAATCAGTGTTATGTTACAAAACAGCAAATCAATGTAGTGTTATGTTACAAATCAGCAAATCAGTGTTATGTTACAAATCAGCGTTATGTTACAAATCAGCATATCAGTGTTATGTTACAAATCAGCAAATCAGTGTTATGTTACAAATCAGCGTTATGTTACAAATCAGCATATCACTGTTATGTTACAAATCAGCAAATCAGTGTTATGTTACAAATCAGCGTTATGTTACAAATCAGTGTTATGTTACAAATCAGCATTATGTCACAAATCATCGTTATGTTACAAATCAGTATTATGTTACAAATCAGCGTTATGTTACAAATCAGCATATCAGTGTTATGTTACAAATCAGCAAATCAGTGTTATGTTACAAAACAGCAAATCAGTGTAGTGTTATGTTACAAATCAGCAAATCAGTGTTATGTTACAAATCAGCGTTATGTTACAAATCAGCATATCAGTGTTATGTTACAAATCAGCAAATCAGTGTTATGTTACAAATCAGCGTTATGTTACAA